GTATGGTTTAATTAATTGGCTTGGTCATTGCCCAGACTTAAACCAAATAGAGAGACTTGTGCCAAATTGTGAAAATTGATGACATCACCATCGAATTTCACTGCGGTTGGAAAAATCAATTTCCTATCAAATCCCTTTATAATATTTATATGAGTCCTTTTTTTCATTTACTTACGTTATGTATACACTGCAAAAAATCTAAATCTAGATAAGTCATTTTTTCTTAAAATAAGTGCATTTGTTCTTGAATTAAGGAGGTAAAATAGACATTTTGCCGATGGAACAAGACGATTTACACTTAAAATAAGAAAAAACAATTGCATTGTTGTATTTCAAGTGCATATTATCTAATTATCTTATTTTAAGAGTAAAATTACTCCTTCCGTTGGCAAACTATCTCATTTACCTGCTCAAATTAAGGGTGAATACACTTAATTTAAGAAAATTTTACTTATTTCTAGATCGTTTTTGCAGTGTATTAGCTGCAATATATGAATCAAGATGCTATGACTAAAAAATGTGATTGACAGATGACCGTTGATATATGATTGGATGATTTTAGGTGTTCAGGCTGACGTAGAACTAACTGGCCTGCAGAAGATAATGAAAAAAAAATGTATATACATGCTTAAGCCAGAATGATTTAAAATTTAAATATGACTTCCCTACAACTTTAAAGAGCTGTGTTTGATAAGAGCACACAGTATTGATAATTCAATACTTATATTTTTTCCTTATATGTATTCGGTTGATAATTTTAGGTAAAAGTTGTAGATTTAGCTTTTTTTTTATTGGTTTTACATTTGCATTATTAACATTAAATCCAAAGAAAATAAAATTTTAAACGTTAGAAAAGATAAGTTAAAAGTGATGTAAACAGTTTTGCCAGCAAACCTTTATGTAAATTGAATTGTAGGTCATGTTAAATAATTGCATTGATTCCTAGCTCAAGGAATTGGCCAAAAGCAAATTTGATGTTAATGTTTTAGCTGATTTAAAATAAGGCGTGTCTAAAAAGTCTCGTGGTACAGACCATAGTTACATTAAGTAGATATTTTGTGTTATTTAGGAGTTAAAATTGGGTATACTGGCTATACGTAAACATAGTCTTGGTAAGTATTTATATTTATAGTTTAGTGTTTTTCTTCGGGGGAGATCTTTTGGGGACGGACAAGAACGGGTCGGTTAGGGTTTACTATGGCCGTTTCTCAATAACTGGTCCAGGTGAGGGGTGGGGGGCCCGGCCAGAAGCAGGGCAGCAGACTGTATGTAGTGAGCGGTGGTACTAGGGTGGGAAGGCATGATTGAGACTGTGTATTTTTCTTTTTTTTTCTTTTGTCAGGTTGGGGTCTGAACTGCTCCCTCTCCCAAGAACATCCCAAGTCTCCACTAAGTGCGGAGCCCATTCCCCCCATACTGCTCTTCCTCCACAGGCTGGCGCCTGGGTTCGCCGGTAGACTGGTGGTGCTCGGTGTTTGGGGGTGGATGCCCGGACGGGTACTGGCTTATTCCTGGTGGCTACTCTGCGGGGCCCCCGGTGCTCCCGCTGGGGGGTGGGGTGCCCCTGGGGCCTCGGATCCCTGACGCCCATGGCCGGATCAACTTTGGCGTGGCTGGCTGAACGGCACACAGCAGCAGGTTGAGCCAAACATCCTCTAAATGTGCAGGGTCATCTTTGAGCACGCCATTTCACTTTTCTGTCACCAGTTCACCGCAGTTCTTCCAGCAGTCCACACTTTCTCTGCTCTCTTTTTGTCATGGTCTTCTCCTTCTTTCCCATCGCCCGTCTTGCCACAGGTTTGCCTGCTGTGTCTAAAAGTAGCAGCAGCAGCAACCCAGACTGACAGCTCATTGGCTCATTGGATCACGTGCAGCTTGGAGCCGGATGCTCTACCGGGGCTTTACCGTATTAACAGGAGAAGAGGCGCAAGTAAAGTGAGACACTGTCATCTTACAACATGAGGTAATTTATAAATGTTTTAAATCAGGTTGGGTCTGGATCCCGACCCCGGTCCGCTAATCCATGACCTCTGGTCTAGTGGATGAAAAAGTAGAGGACTCGAAATATCCCACAATACACCTAGAAAAGTAGTGATCATCCATTGTCACTAGACGGTTAGATATATCCCAGAATGCTTTGCGTGGAGAGCTCTTCTTGCAAAGCATTATTGGAATTTGCTTCACTGCAGCCTGCTGTCGCAGTCCTGCTGCACGTTTCAAAATACTCCCAAGCCAACCAAAACCTTCTCAAAATGTTTTCACTGTGTCACCTCAGAACTGATCCTTATTGGAGGGAGATGGTTTCCTGACCTGGTTAGGAAAGCCTGTCCTCCAATAAGAGAACATATCAGATTGTGACAGTAAATGTAGGTCTGAATTGCTCAAAGAAAGAGTGAGGCCAAAGAAAATGTCACACTTTGTCTCACATGAATCAGAGTCTGAAGTTGAAATAACAAAGAGCAAAGGCATGGTAAAATGTATTTCTGCCTGTTTTTCCCCTTCAGTCTCATGACTAATTTAACATTGTCTTTCAAAACCCTATGACTCTCTGGAACAAATGCTTTACGTTCTGTCCAGTTATGCATGAACATTGAATATGTTTTGTTCTAAAACCATTTCATGGAGTTTTGTTCATGATGTGATGACCTGATAAAGCCATTCACTCTGTCATGTACAGAAGATGTCCTCATGACTGCAGTTTGATAACAAAATGAACGGTCATGATATCTTTTACAACTTATGGCTCAGTTCTGGTTTGTTCTTTTCGTATAAGTGGAAACGGTCAACTGATGTCTTATGCGAGCAGGTTTTTCCCCCCCTGGGTTAGGACATACTGAACGCTTTTTAGACGGATGTCTTTCTCTGAGATTATTCTCAACATTTGCAAGAATTAAACAAAATGCTGCTTCTGTGATGAGCTGTGATCTCTTCCCTGTTTAAGGACAAACATTTCTTATTTCATCCATCCACCCAT